CCCCCCCTCTGTCTGTCTGTCTGTCTGTCTGTCTCTCTCTCTCTCCTCTGCTCGCTTCATCCTCGCCTCCCTTTCCTCTCTCTTCTTTCTCTTCTAGCGTCCTACTCGCTTGTCACTCACCATGTGGTCAGGAGGGTCCCAGCACGAACGTTCCCAGCAGAAAGGTGAGCTACTGCTCAGCTGAGTCTTCCTCTGACTTGCGCGGCAGTCCATCCTCTCTGACAAGCCGTGGATCAACCTGCTCTCAAACAAGATGAGGAGGAGGGGATAAGGGAGGAGGATGCTGAGGGGAGTAGGGAGGTACAGGAATATGATTATGAATACGGGGATGAATAAATGGGGCTACTGCTCCTGCTGCTCCTGCTGCTGCTGATGATGATGATCATGATCATGATCATGATAATGAGGAGGAGGAGGAGGAGACGGAAATAAGGAAGAGGAGGAGGAGGAAGAATGAGGAAGAGCAAGTAGGGTTGGGGTTTGTAGCACTTCAAGTCTGACTGATCATTTTCTCAGCTCCATAGCGACCACATGCTCCAGGAGGAGATGCGTTGGAGGGAGCAAGAGGACACGCTCGGTGAGTTCCTGGTGTAACTTCCACTACTACCCCCTTCCTCTCCTCTAGTACTACCCCCCTTCTCTCCTCCTCTAGTGTCATCCCCACTTGTCCCTCCCTCTTCTGATTTCCTTTCCATTTCTTCTTTCTGCTTCCTCAGCTGCTGCTGCTTCTTTCTGCTTCCTCGGCTGCTGCTGCTGGAGGAGGAGGGGGGAGGGGGAGGAGGAGGGGGGAAGGGGGAGGAGGAGGGGGAGGAGAACGCTGGAGGAGGAGGAGGAGGAGGAGGAGGAGGAGAAAGAGAGGATGGGGGAGACTGAGAGAACCAAACAGAGGAAGAGAAATGAGCAGGCAGCAGGAAAGGTCGGAGAAGACCTCGTGATGGTGTAAGGCCAGATGGAGGAGATGCCGATGCCAACGCCGCACCAGGTCTCGCGTCCTTCGACCTGATCCGGATTTTGCTGGAGAGAAGGAGGATGAGCATTAGGAGCAGGAGGAGCAGGAGGAGCAGGCCGGAGGAGCAGGAGATTGGGAGGAGGAGGAGTGCCTCTTGTCGCTGTGAAGATTCACAGGGAGGAGCAAGGGCAGAGGGGAGGGACATGAAGAACGGCAGCAGAAGCAGGAAGGACAGAAGCATCGCGGAGAACGGAAGAGGGAGAAGGAAGGATGAAGGAGGAGGAAGAAGAGAGAGAGAGGAGAGGAAGAAGAGGAAGAGGAGGAAAGGATTTATTTCTACCTGCAACTTGACAAGTTCTTGGACCAGAAACTCGCACTGTTCGCTTGAGGGGTCAGCCTTGCGACCGTTGACAAGCTCCATGACTGCAACGAGAGAAAAGAAGAGAAAAGAAGAGGACAGGAGAGGACAGGACAGGAGAGGACAGGAGGAGGTAGGAAAAAGACGGAAAAAGGGGAAGAAGGGAAGAGGAGGGAAAGGAAAGTTGTGAGTGGACATCGATCATCTGATCGATGGAGACGCGATATAGAAGGAGAGGAGAAGGAGCAGCATCAGCTGAAGGAGGAGGAGGAGGAGGAGCAGCAGCAGCAGCAGCAGCAGCAGCCGAGGAAGCAGAAAGAAGAAATGGAAAGGAAATCAGAAGAGGGAGGGACAAGTGGGGATGACACTAGAGGAGGAGAGAAGGGGGGTAGTACTAGAGGAGAGGAGGGGGTAGTAGTGGAAGTTACACCAGGAACTCACCGAGCGTGTCCTCTTGCTCCCTCCAACGCATCTCCTCCTGGAGCATGTGGTCGCTATGGAGCTGAGAAAATGATCAGTCAGACTTGAAGTGCTACAAACCCCAACCCTACTTGCTCTTCCTCATTCTTCCTCCTCCTCCTCTTCCTTATTTCCGTCTCCTCCTCCTCCTCCTCATTATCATGATCATGATCATGATC